ATTCTACTGCCAGTGAACACAAATCATATGAATTTCAGTTTTTCTGAAAGTATCAATGAAGATATTCGTAGGCCAGTCTCAGCGGAAGACGACGGCTAATGTGCATTATTCTCTTTATCAGGCAGTTTCATATGAAATTGGGTACCAATGGCGAAATACAACTCTGCCTTGACAACATTCCAAGTTGGAGTCCTGGAGATAAGAAAATGACGTCGTCAATTTCGTCAAATTCCCTATCAGCCATTCGGCTGAATAGACGCTTGCATTTTCCCAAAATGAATTGAGTAGTAGCTATTGCAGTCACAAACGCTACTTATATTCTATTTGAGTAGTCTATCGAGGCTAGCAGTAGAAATTGAGTTTTAATCGGCGAAAAAATGTCCTATACTAACAACTTCTAAGTCTTATCAAATTAAAAAAAAGTAATATTGTCAATTTCAATCGCAAATGCTACTTATATTCTATTTGAGTAATCTATCGAGGCTAGCAGTAGAAATTGAGTTTTAATCGGCGAAAAAATGTCATCTACTAACAACTTCTAAGCCTAATCAAATAAAAAAAGTAATATTGTCAATTTCGATCGCCAATGCATATTCAACCGATCTCAAATTCCGCTGCCTAAAGCGTCACTTCTGACCTGCGGCCAAACAGGCAGTTTCATACGAAATTGGATACCAATGGCGAAATACAACTCTGCCTTGACAACATTCCCAGTTGGAGTAATGGAGATAACAAAATGACGTCGTCAATGTCGTCAAATTCCCTATCAGCCTATCGGCTGAATAGACGCTTGCATTTTCCCAAAATGAATTGAGTAGTAGCTATTACAGTCACCAACGCTACTAATATTCCATTTGAGTAGTCTATCGACGCTAGCAGTAGAAATTGAGTTTTAATCGACGAAAAATGTCATATACTAACAACTTCTAAGTCTAATTAAATAAAAAAAAAGTAATATTCTCAATTTAAATCGCAAATGCTACTTATATTCTATTTGAGTAGTCTAACGAGGCTAGGAGTAGAAATTGAGTTTTAATCGGCGAAAAAATGTCATAAACTAACAACTTCTAAGCCTAATCAAATAAAAAAAAGTGATACAGTCAATTTCGATCGCCAATGCTACTTATATTCTATTTGAGTAGTTTATCGAGGCTAGGAGTAGAAATTGAGTTTTAATCGGCGAAAAAATGTCATAAACTAACAACTTCTAAGCCTAATCAAATAAAAAAAGTGATATTGTCAATTTCGATCGCCAATGCATATTTAACCGATCTCGAATTCGGGATCAAGTCGGGCCGAGAGCGAGGCGATGAAGAGGGAAATTCAACGTGAAAATAATATAAAAATGACGAACGAGTGAAAAGATGAGGTGATACGTACTTGTGAGGCGAGTGGA